TATCTATCTATCTATCTATCTATCTATCTATCTATCTATCTATCTATCTATCTATCTATTACTTTCTTTTCCAAGGACTGCACCCTTGAATAGTATCTAGTATTGCTAGAATGAACAATGTCCAAAAAAATGGAGAAATAATCTCTGTCCACCACAGTCAACCGAGGTCCCGGGTGAAGAGAAAGAACAAAACAGGCTCAGCTTTCGATGCCCCATCGAGGTTGCCATCCTAAAGTTTCGGCCCCATCCTGAGGGCCCCCTTTGAAAACAGAGGCCCATCCAAAGGCCGATTCCTCCATTCCAGGAGAACCCAGGATCCTCCCCACACACACACACACACACACATACACACAGAGGAAAAAGGGGAGCCTCCAGCTCTCAGGGACTGTGGGGTCCTGGGGGCTCCCCACAAGGGCTCGTTCCCCACGTAGCCAGTTCCGGGCACGGCAGGTGGGATCCAGGGGAGATTCTAAGGCTGCAGGGGTTGGATCACCCACTGTTCTGCGGCTGCCCTTTTTTAAAAAAAGTTTTATTATTTTTCAATTACAAAACTAAACGTTCCACCTGTCCTTAAGCCGTGTGTCGTCTGGGTACAAACATCTCTATGCAGCATCATTCCTCTTTTGCCACATCTTTCATATTCATATTAACATTATTTCCCTAAGTTTAATATTATAATATATTGAGCATTTAAAACAGAGTTATGGAACTCTCCGTTTTTCTTCTTAATATCTTCTAGTAATATATCAACACTAAACTTCATTATTCTCATAATACACAAGCTAAGAGTTTTATATCTCTAAGTGTATTGTCTACTTATTTTTTTAGCTTTCTTCATTTCCAAACTCCTTTTTTTTCTCCAACCATTGGTAAAATACATCCCAAATCATATAATATTCAGTTTGCTCTCTCTCTCTCCTTCATTGCTAATGTTAATCTGTTCATTTCTGCACATTCTAATATTTTCTGCAGGGGTCCTGAGCACCTGGGGGCCTGGAAGCCCAGCTGCAAAGCAGGACATTTGGGGCAGCTGAAAGAGATGCAGCCAGGAGCAGTGCACTGGGGTGTGTGTGTGTGTGTGTGTGTGTGTGTGTGTGTGTGTGTGTGTACAACCGTTCGGAGGCGAGGCCCTCCCATTGGCTGCATACACTCACCTTGGTCCTCTTTGCCAGCCAAGGAAGCCGCCTGGGTGCCCAGGACAAGCAGAGTGAGGGCAAGGAGGAGCTCCTGGGAGATCATGCTGCTGCGGGAGGTGCTGTTTCTGCGTCTGAGCCCCACAGCCCGGCCAGGCTAGATTTAAAGAGCCCAACAGGCGGGGCTGCCTGGATGCCGACTCTGACAGGAGCCTCTCCCAGCAGCTGAGTGGACTCCCCACTAAGCCCTGCCCAGACAGGTTTCCCCACCGAGGAGGAGGAGGAGGAGGAGGAGCTGGGAGGCTCCCACAACTGGGTAGCCAGCTTGGCTAGAGGTGAGGTCCAGGCCAGGTGGACCTGTGCCTCAACCCTGCCGTGGGACCCTGCCTGGAATTGGCTTGGAGGTCAGAAAAGGCAGCCGGGTGGCCTCTTGACTGCCAGGAGGAACCCAACTGGTGCAGGGGAGCTAAAGATGGCAGCCCACCTGAGTCCTTCTCCTGGAGGGAGAACCTCCGTGGCCACCTTCAGCCCATCTTCTCTCTGAACCGACTGTGGGAAGAAATGTCCTTCTGGGTTCGGCTCCAAGTGGGGGAAAAGACACTGGAGACACGGAGGCTGCTTGGAAAGATGGTTTGATGGTGGACAGGACCACGTGGCTTGAGCTCCTGGACAGAAAAGGGGGATCAGAGGCTTCCAGATGTTGGGCGGAGAAGAAAAGGGACAGAGATGCTGAAAGTCCCTGGTTTTATCCCCTCTCTGGCCTTTGATCTTCAGCTTCTGATTGGTTGTCAGACTCCCAGGGGGGCCATGCAGGGGCAACTCTGTAGGGTGTGAGTCCAGGTTTGGTTGAGCATCGCTTCTTCCCAGGAGCCCCGTGGTGAGATGGGTAAAAGGGCTCATCCTATCATGCCTTAATCCTATCATCACCCTGGAGCAGAAGGGGGAGGTCTTTGTTATGTAGAGTAGATTGACTCAGGCCTTTAAATGGCCCATTGACAAAGGTGTGGGCTATTAAGAGTGAGTCTGTTTCCTGCCTCAAAACACGTTTCTCCATTTCTCATCCAGGGAAATTATAATATTCTGCCTTTTCAATATTTCCCAGGAGGCTTCATTCTTCTAGGAGAGGGGCTGGGGGCTAACTTCCTAGACTACCCACCCCATCGTCCAGGATCCGGGGCTCTGCTGCCAGGGCCAGTGGCTGCACCTGGCATGGAGGATTGGCCACTTCCTCCTTGGAACCAGCTGGGAGTCAACAGGAAGGGATCCCGCCTTGTCCAGGAGCCAATTCTTGATGACTGCCAAGATCTTCTCCAACTGGTTGGTCCAGACAAAGGCAGCCACCAAGGAGACCAAATTACCTTCGTGCTTCCTGGTCCTGTCACCACTTCCACCCCCTCCGGCCTGCAGGGTTCATGGGCTGCCACCTGCCACCTGCCACCTGCTGGCTTGGAATCCAAGCTGCCCATCCCACCCCCTGCCACGCTGGCCCCATGGGCCCCTCTCCGCGAGCCGCCTGAGGAAGAGGCTCAGAGCCCTGTGGCCCTCACTCTTCCAAGCCCTCCGTCTCAATTTGGGTCCACAACGGAGCCAACAAAATTTCTGTTGCTTAATGAGACAGTTGTTAAGAGAACAGCTTCCCCATTTTATGACCTTTCTTGCCAGAGTTGTTAAGTGAATCACTGCAATTGTTAAGTGAGTAATGTGGTCCTTAAGTGAACCCGGCTTCCCTTGTCTGAAGGTCGCACAAGGGCGTCACGTGACCCTGGGACACTGAAACCGTTCATAAATAGGAACCGCTTGACAAAAATTTCGATCACGTGACCATGGGGATGCTGTGACGGTCGTAAGTGTGAAAACGGTCATAAGTCACTTTTGCCAGTGCCGCTGTAACTTCAAATGGTCACTAAATGGACTGTTGTAAGTCGAGGTCTACCTGTAGAACAAGGTGGAGACTATTACAGGCAGCGCCTGGGAAATGACTCAGATGCCCTCAGTCTAGAAGTCCAGCTGTGAACAGAATGGATGGATGGATGATGAATGAATGAATGAATGAATGAATGAATGAATGAATTTCTGTTCCTGGTTGTTCCGGCTGAAGGCCAACTACCTGGGCACCAGGCAGGTGAATACCCAGCTGTTAGGATTTGCCCACTCCTACCCTTTCAAAATCCATATGTATGTATGTATGTATATATGCATGCATGTATGTATGTATGTATGTATGTATGTATGTATGTATGTATTTATTTGCTTGCTTGCTTGCTTGCTTGTTTATTTCTTGGCCACCCATCTCACCATTAAGGCCCTCTGGGTGGCTTACAAATGATAGATAGATAAATAATAGAATAACAAAGTTCACAGGGACCTTGGAGGTTTTCTCATTAATGGTTCTCACTGTCAGGAAATTCCTCCTTATTTCCAGGTTAAATCTCCCCTTGGTCAGTTTCCATCCATTATTCTTTGTCTGCCCTTCAGGGGCTTTGGAAAATAGTTTGACTCCCTCCTCTCTGTGGCAGCCCTTCAAGTATTGGAAGGCTGCTCTCCTGTCTCCCCTGGTCCTTCTCTTCCCTA